TCTGAAATCTTTGAGCTGATTAGCACCTTGGATTTTGGGCACCAGAGTTACGATGGTCGCATTCATGGCTCGATGGATTACCCCTCTAGAGTGGAATTCTGCAAAGAGGTTTACGAAGTCATCTCGAAAGGACTCCCAAAAAGTCTTGAAAGGAGCTACAGGTAATCCGTCTGGTCCAGGGGCTCTATCAGAGTCCAAATCAGATAGGGCGGCTAGAATTTCGGAATCGGAGAAAGGTCTTTCTAGCCAAAGCGTTTTCTTTGAAGGTAAAACAAGGAATTCTAAATCCCCCACTTGGGTGCGAGGAGATGGGGGAGCCGAGAAAATATTTTGAAAGTAGATCTGGGGGATGATCTAAGAGGATTCCATCCACCAACAGCTTTGAGATTTAATTATCCCTGCACCTGCAATTTGCCGTTCGGTGAAAGAAGCATGTATTTAGGTCCCTTATTTTCAGCCACTTTATTCTGGATCTCTGGTATCAAAAATTTTCCTCTTACTTGAGAAGAGATTAGTATTGAAGCTTTAGATCATCCCTCTCTTAAATTTCAGGATCCGAGAGAATCATGTTTTCTTTCAAACTGTCTAAGGCCTGGATGGCAAGCAAAGTGGAAGTTTTCTAGGGTCCAAGGAACCCCGGAAGGTTCCTACTCCAAAGTTTCAAATGGCCCTTGAGTAGCTGTAGTTTTCGCTGTAGTTTAAAGCCTGCCCAGCAAACTACCATATGAGAGAGCTTCTGCCACCAAGTCAAGAGTAGGGCTGGAAGAGAAGGTTCTTCTAGCGAAGCTAATCAAACTTGAAAGGTTTTAGGCCACTAAGAGAAGGGTTTGTATTAAGAAGGATTAGGCAATAGTCAAAAGCTGGTTTGGGTAAAGCCAAAGAGTGAGTGCCAGGAAAAGAGGTATCCCATTCGATGGAGGTCAAGAAGCAATCCAATCTCGAGACAGAAGGATTGGACGTGTGGTTGGACCATGTGAATTGGGCACCTTGTGTAGGAAGATCAATGAGGTTGTTAAAGGCTATGAAGTCTGAGAAGGCAATCATGGCCGGGGAGATCCTAGTTGAAGAGTTTCTCTCGTGGGATCACCTTGTGATGTTGAAGTTGCCTCCTAGGTACAAATCAGGGTGGGGCAGTTGGGCAGCCAAGCTGAGTTTGTTCCAGAGGGACGGTCAAAGTGAGTCTAGGTTAGGACCATAGATCGTCGAGAATTTCCACTAAAACCCTTATGGAATTCTCAAAAGGAGGATGGTTACCAAGAATCTAGCTGGGTGTTGGGAAACCAAAGAGTGGGCCGTTGGATCCTAAATCACTCAAATTCCCCAGGAAGCAACTTCGGCTGGAACCGCGACCCATTGACAAGGGCGATGCCCCCAGACCTGGCGAATTTGAATCAAGGAGGGGGAAGGTAACTTGGTCTCTGTTAAGGCCGAGATGGATGGCCTGTGTTTGAAACAGATATCTGTTACTACATTATTCTTGTGGGGCAGTTCGAGACCTCGGATGTTCCATGAGATGATCAACATGGATGGGTTATGGAGAGGGGAGTGTTCCTGAGGGAATGTCTCACCAAAAAGCTGCTAGGGGCCAACTGTTGGGGAGTGGGAGAGAAAGAGAGGTTTGACGAAGAAGGGAGATCATAATTGATTAAGGAAGCCAAGTTAGAGATTTCACATGGTCCTTTCTTGCTTACCCTTATTCTGGATTGAGCTTCCACTTTGAAGAACTCTTGGAATGGACCTTCTAGTGGGTTTGGAAAGCTGATGACTCTCATAACTTCGTGAATTTCCCCTTGGCGACATCAACTCCATTGACGAAGTCTAGTGTTCCACTGATTGGGAAGAATCAATTGAATCCATCCCTTGGATAGCAGAGGGGGAAGGTAAATCCAGAATAACCGAAAATGGTAGATCATCAGCAGGAGTGGGTCTAAATATGCCTGATGAGATGCCAAAAGGGTCGGCCACTGAGGTTGGGGTGGGAGTTTGCCAGAAAGAGGAGAGCTGTAGAAGTCGGGATCTCCAGGTTAAGGGGTGGAGACGTAATGATAGAGGGGTTTAAAGCTGCAACAGAGGCACAAAGAGGTGAAGAAGCAGATTCCTTAGGGAAGGTGGTACTGCTACCTCCAGAGGTAGAAGAGAGATGATGGACAACAGAGACAGGCAGAGGCAAAATAGGGTAAGAGACGGGGGGGTGGGAAGAATGAGAGAGGGATAGGGATACTCGGAGTTAACTGCTGGACCCAAGTGAGTAACAGAAGGAGAAAATGGAGTAGGGTGATGAGGAAGGGTGTAGAGTGGAGAGGAGAGGAATCAGGCCAGAAAAGGGGTCGACAATAGGGCTGATTGCTTCTTAAGAAGGGTGAGGGATAAGAATAGGAATGGGCGATGAAGAGACCGAGATCATTATGAGGTCTTCACTTGAGGGGTCAGCCAAGAATCGCACTAAGACGGGGGGAGTAGCTAAAGGGGAAAAGTAGGGGTCCATGGTGCTTGTTTGGAGAGGGGCCTCGACCGATGCAGAGGTTTCGATGACTAAAAAGGGGTCGTCTCTTGTAGGAGAAATGATGGCAGTAGGGCCTTCGGGCACAACCTAGGGCACTGTCAAGGAGTGACCCAAGTAGGGGAAACAGAGCTTGAGCGGTTGGGGGGTGAAGGAGTGGAAGGGGAAGAGGGGGATAAGGGGGTGAAGAGGTTCACAGGCGGAGGAATACATTGATGGGGGTGCAGATGTGTGAATGATGATGAAGGGCGAAGTGATGTGAGGGGATAGGGAGAGGAGAGAGAATAAGAGAGGTGACCCTTGAGAAGTGGAGGAGAGACAATGGAAGACGAAAAAGGAAAAGAGGAAGGAGGCGGGGTGAGGTTAGAGGGGAAATCTCGGGAGGCGGGGTGAGGCATAGAACCATCAGAGGTGGGTCCAACAGGGTCAGCGGGAGGCGACGCGTGACCGGAAGGTTCGAGATGTCGAGAGGAGCCCTGAGAGTTGGATCAGAATGGTCAACGGGAGCAAGGGGAGGCTAAGGAATGGTCAACGGCAAGGGGGGGAAAGAGGTGGAGGTGGCACTAGAATAGGCATTGACCTTCGATGAAAACTTTTCATACCTGATGGGGGATTTGACGAGGACTTTCGCGCTTCCTGTTACTGGTTATAGTGGTCCAACCTTCATGGTTAGCTAATGGCTGCTTCTGCCTATTTCCGTTGTCTGGAGACGCAAAACTGTATGAAGGGGGGAGGCCACTAACCAAGAGGTGAAAGCTTGGCAAAATAACCCTTTGATCTCAAGCCAGATGAGGGAAGGGATGGTTTGGGGGTCTAGAAGATCCACGATCAGCAGTAGGGAACCTAGCGAGAGGGCCTCCATGGATTTCCAGTGAACCGCCACAAAAGAGCCACAAGCATTTCCAATGGCTTTGAATGTGTCCAGGCACCATGAATGGAGAGGGATGTTCGAGGCTGTTTGCCAGACCTTTTGTCTTCTAAAAGCCCTTTTGGTTTCCTCCCATTTCAACAAGTGGAGACCTGCTCCTTTGAAAGGTAGTTTTCAGGAATTGTTTAGGGCACGAGTCGCACCTTTGATTGAGGAGAAGGAAAAGAGGACATCTCAGTCGAATAGTTGCCTGCATTTCAAACCAGAGATATGCAGAGATGCTAGAGGGGATGTGAATAGACAAAGGACGGTGAAGCGAAAGGGGGCTAGAGGTGCCGAGAATCGCAGAGGATTCCAGGGGGTGGGAGGAGGTGGAGGGTGTAAAGTTAGTCATGGCCTTCTACGAGAATTTCACTTAACCATTTAGACCCAATTTTTTAGGGCATGTAATATCTACAATGGACGTCATGAATATAAAAAAATTAATAAATTTTAAAAAATAAAAATAATAAATTTATAAAAAAAACATTTGAACTATTAGTTCCAATTATTTTTAGATGAACCACCTATTTACATTCATCTTTAAGATGGATGCTTTTTACCACCCCATATTTTAGATATGCTGTCCAGCTCACATGAAACAATTTTTCATAACTAACTAATCAAAGCAGCTCCACGTGGAGTAAAAGGGTTGTATTTCTTGCCAACTGTACCCAAGAAAAGTAAAGGAATAAGTAAGAATGGAACCTTTGATAGAACAGTAGCATGTCATTCTACGGATAGACTGTCAATGCTTTCTATGATACATAGTACCAAGCCATTCTAGAAGGCACGATCCCAAAAAATGTCATCGCATTAAAAAATTTAATGACATCATTAATACATACGGCCAAGTGTCTAAAGGCATGTCAAGAAGAGTCGACCGTGTCTAGGTATCGATACATGTTGATGCACGATACCCAAAAACATCTCAAGCATCGGCGTAACATTGGGTTGACCAATTTGGGATCCTGCTATGAATATTAAATGGGTGTAAGGAAAGAGTTTATGGAAGCCCTAAATATGTACTTATGAAAATAAGATTTACCTTAAAAACCAACTAGAAAAGATTGTTCAACAATAGAGAATCTTTCGATTGATCATCTCGACCGCAAGATACATGAATGTTAAAAAAAAAAAAATTTATTTTAAATCGTAAAAATAATGTATCATGTAACACATTATTTAGAGTATTCATTTTCAAGATTTTCAAACGTTTAATAGATCAGTTCAATCTATACTATTTTTTAAGCTTTAAATTTCATAATAGGAGGTGGAAGTAGCTTCCAGGTCATCGTGGGGATTTCTAGTACCAGAACTACATCTTCCAGTATATTAGGGCCTCCAACTTCTCTCTCTCAAAAAAAAAAAAAAAAAAGGGACAAGCAACTTACTTTAATTGTCTAAGCTGCACACTATAAACCGCACCCAAGAGAAAAAAAAAAAAAAAGATGCTGCCACTAAAAAAAATTTTGAATAGAGCCTAAATGTTCGCCTGAAAATAGTGATCTAAATTACACAACTTCAACGAGTATAGCAACATTCATTAAAACAAAAAAATAAGACAAACAAATGCAGAGCACCCACTGCCAAGATTCGAAAAGAATATGTAGAATTGGACTTGATGCGATTGAAGATGCATCACTTCCTCCACTTCAAAGCATTATTTTTTTCGAGTATTTGTGCACCAGGGTCAAGGAAGACCCGAGAGCAATATGCTTCAAAGAATTACAACAGAATCATATTTCCATGGCAAGCTTGCTTAACCATTTTACCATTATTTGACGACCAGCATGATAGCACAAAGCTTTTACATATAAATGCTAAAACAATTATGGAGATAATGCAAAACAAATATCAACAACTCTACAACCACAGAAAAGAGTGACGATGAGAGAAATAAGCCTCCAACTTTTGAATGCACCTCCAAAGTAGCCCGGCAAGGCTCATAAGGAATATGGATCATTCATTACATGGAATTCAGCCATCTCGGAAAAAAATTATGGCCTCCATTGTGCATGGAGTGGAGGAATGAATGAGATCTTGAGAGGAAATTAAAGGTTCTTCTTTAGCCATTTCAAAGCTCCATTAGCGAGTGACCTGCAAGTACCATGACCATAATACTTGATGGCTCAGATTTCATTTTTCTTATCATGTAACTGTGAAGATTATAAGAAACGGATTTAGATGCGCAAATAAATTTGACAACTAATCATTTAATAATCACAAAGTTCACCTTCTTTTCTCTTTTCGGTAATTGACAGAGTTCATTTACTGTACTACATACCACAATTTTCCAATACTGTATCGAAGAAAAGTGAAGATCTTGTGAGATTTCTATCAGATATCACTGGAATTTTCAAGTGAATTTCTGGCTACAAATGTGTAGCCCTCGAATCAAAACAAGAAACCCCAAACATGAGCACTAAAACCATATGACCCCATGAACTTCGACCATGCACTTCTCTACAATATATTGAAAACCAAAAATCCCTCTAGATCCTTAACCCATGGTTGAGGATTAATCCTTCTGATAATGATCCTGAAGTCCTAAATGCATGTTGCAAGACAGATACCATTACCTGGAGTCCGAAATACAAATTCTGAAGCCCTAAACTATGAAATATTATCTAACCGAGAGTATTAAAGGAGAGGTAACAACCACATGCTTTTCAATTAAAGCAAAAGTGAGAATGTTAGCCACCAGAATCTGTAAGGCAAGAACTCAAAACAGAGATGCATTCATGGTACAAGCAGCATCAACTGACCAAATATTCACCACAAACCCAAAGCTGAAACCTGTTTGAAACAAAAAACGCTATGTTTATCACTAGTTTTTAGCTAATAAAATTAAGAATCTCAGTTGCTTACCAAACAATTGCTATCTAAAAATGCTGAGGACCAACCATGACAATTACCCTAGTAAACCTACTAGACTCATTAAAGTGGTCAAACTATATCTGGTCAAAATATATCACTTACCCTAGTAAACCTATTGGACACATTAAAGTGGTCCAAAGAGACATTCTAAGAAAGTATACACCTAAATGTTACAATTCTAATATCATTATACAGATTTCTCACTTCATGGAAGGTTCAAATGCTACATCAACCCACACGTGACATGTTAAGGAGTTCGACGCTGAAATCTTTAAGGCTCTGAAAATGATAATGATGCAAAGAAGAGTTATACATCAGAAATTAACGATAACAGTTGATTCCAAATAATTTAATAGTATTTTCAGTATAATCATGTGAAACTTACGTGAAAAACATGTGGCTCTTATCCATGGGCCTCTAAGTGATATTTCTGAACAAGCACTTCTTTAAGAGCCGAAACCTTGGCACTTCAATTCCAAAAAAGTTCACAGAACCTCCATCTGTCTCTTCCTGAAGTTTTGTATGTATTAATTTGGAGTTGTTAGTATTTCCAAGGGTTTCCTCAATTAAAAAGATGATTGTATATAATAATTAATTTCTTATCAATAGTTGAAGGCATTGTTGGACAACATGGAAGGCACATGTCCACCAAGTTCGAAAACGGTCCATGTATACATGGATCTCGGCTTTTTTTGGCTTTCAAATTGAAAATTCGCATCATTTTCATTGCCTTGAGCAGCCTCATTAATAAACCTTTTTCTCTACGGATGATCCCTTCATCTTCAGGTGCAAGGAGTTCAATATTTTTCGCAATAAGCACTTGACTTTCATTAGTTAAGAATATTTAAAAATTATAGTTCTAATTCACAAAAGAATCCCAGCATCCAACCAATAGGATTTTTCACTCACTAACCAGAGAGTTAATAGGGATAAAGGCAGGGTAGTTCCATCCCCAGAAGGGCAGTCATCTTAATTTCCATTACCTAGGATGACTGACATGTCCTAGTTAAGGTCAGTTCATAACAGTAAACACTATGAATTTCCAAATGGACTCCCATCCCAAATGGCACTTCTGCTATTCTTGTTATCAAAAGATGATCAAGATAATCTCAAGTTGAAGCACAACAGACCAGAGAGAGAAGTTCCTACGGGGCAATACCTTCACAGCTCATCATGAAGAAAATTACCCTCAAAGAAACATCATAGATTTATTCTGTAGTTGCTCAGAATTTATGGGTGCCTCCGGGGAGCTGGGGGGTGGTTGTTTTGATGAGCCGCGAAGAGGGACATGCCAGACTTTTTTCCAAACCCACAATAGAAGTTAACTCATGAATGCAAGCCATGCTGAGTGTTAACTCCAGCAGATGGCACGACGTTAAGCTCAGAATGGATGCCTCATCTATTTGTCTTTTATTCGTGCCCTTTATTATACAGGGCATGCACTTCTAGAAATCAGTACCCATAATACAAGTACTACTCAAGGACGGTATATACATCATTTGGTTATTCATTCTAAGCTGTTACCCTGCACAAGTAAAAAACTTTCTCAATGCAATGAAGGACCATATATGTAATCCACAATGAGACCCAATCTTTTGCATATAATCAGTAAATTAATTTTTGTGATAATGACCACATGATCTAATGGTAATATTGGCACGTTAAAGTCCACGTGAAGCAGAGGTATGGCAATTATGAATATCAAACCATCAAAGTAACAAAGTTTTTTACTTATTAGCCACCAATTTCAATGAGAGAGCAGAATACCCAGCCAGATCTTTCAACTTCTGCCAAAAGTCATTTGGTTCTTCAGATCTCTTTGAAATCGTACTATATGGGTCCATCTGACGATCTTTGATTTCACCTACACAAGGAAACTTTGAATTTAAAAATTTGCAATGAATCATAGAAACTAAAAGATTAGAAAAACATGTTAATCTGACAAAGATGCAAAAGATATCCAATGCACTCCACATGAGGATAAAGGTGGCACAACAAAGTATAAGACTATACATAGAAGCAACAATTTGAATGTGTCGAACTTACTTTTAGGTTTATTACTGGTACGAAACCTTGCACGATTGCCAGTAGAATCCTTCAGAAGGGCAAGCTCTTCAAGCAGTTCCCGTTCTCTGCTACTGAAATCCAGAATAAAATGTCGGTAATTCTGCTATTGGCGATAAATTTGCATCAGAGCACACCCAATTGCACATAATGAGACGCCATGATGTTTCACGAGAGAAGTTCAGGAGACGTATCACCACACAGTGAAATGTAAGCAAGCTATTTCAAGATCCAGGTATAGCTAACAATGCAGCATTCGGTTTTACAGATGTATCAAGACAGTCTAGGATTGTGTGCCAAAAAGTATTCCATAAGCCTGTCAATACGGTCACGTCGATCCGCTGATCTGGGGGGCTAACCCGATCCGGGTCCAGCTCTGGGTCCATGCTTTGTAGCTGGAGGGTTGGGTTCAGATTGTGTGCTGATACCAAAATCAGATACATTATATATTTTACAACATAAAATCAGAAACCCTTATCTTTGAAACCCGAAAGTTTATGGTGAGCCCTTCTATGTTCTCTTTCTCCATCACCTGCACCACTCTTCGCTTCTCACGTCTTTGCTGCAATAGAGAGAGAGAGAGAGAGAGGACTACTCGTGTTGTTAAGTGGTTCAGTGGGAAATTGTGAAGCTATAGAGTTTGTTATAGATAACACAAATGATGGGAAACCTAGGGCAACTGATGTCACAGGCCCTAATGGCATCTCAGTCCAAGGATCTCAGAGACATGGCTTTGGAGGAGGGGAAAGAGGGAGAGGAAGAAGCTATGGCTTTAATGGATGTTGAGGAAGAAGGGGGGTGGTAGTTATGACAGTTCTGGTTATGGTGGCCATGAACGAGGAGAAGGTGGAACTTGCTATAACTGCGGATAAACTGGCCGTATGGCTAGGATTGTTATCAAGGAGGGAGAGGAGGTGGTAGATCTGGTAGTGGTGTTGGTGGATCTTGCTACAACTATAATGAAACTCATCACTTTCCTCCAGATATTTCTCTCTCCAAACCCTTTCCTCTCTAAATCCTTTTCTCCCTTTTGTTCCTATGCTCTCTCTTTAGCTTTTACTTTAATGAATACTTCGGATTTTCGATGTGGTGTTTTTCACTGTGTTTTGGAACTCCTCATGAAATTACAGTGGATTTAGGGTTTTGTTATGTTGTTTTGGACAATGCTCTGTCTTGAATAGAGAACAGCAGAAGTGGTTTATGAGGTTTTAAGTGGTGAGTGCTCTTTGATGCGCATACAAACTGGAATTTTTTGATGTCAAATTTTGGGTGTTTTCTAAGAACATTTAGCAATTTTTGGGTGTTTTCTTAGAACAAATAGCATGTTGTACTTCTCAAGTTTCTGCAAAATTGTGAATGATTGAAACCCAAAGCCCCCATAGAATTATGCACATAACCACCTAGTTATCCTATGTAGCATCATGTGATTGGGTGCACATTTCACAACCATGTAACATGGAATTGGAAGCGAATTATTAAATTCAAATTGCTTCAAGAATGTGTGCAGAATTACTTGAGGGTTAAAGGTAACTCTCCACCTATGCTTTCTAATTTTATTTGAGTTAGCATGGCCAATTATGGAAGCAAGTTGAATTTGATTTGAACTTGAATTTGAGATTAATGACGGGAAACTTGGAGTGAATTAGGATTCTAATGGAGGACAATAGTATTAAATCTCACCCACTCATCAAGATGGCATAATGAGTGATGGGTGATTGGATCAATCCCCTCACATGCCATGGATGATTGATTTCAAAAGCTAAGATTAACTCATCTAGAAGCATCTTTACAATAAACTTATAAATACCCTCACAATCTCTCATTTGAGAACTTTGACTGGTACTCTCATAGTGTGGCACGTTTCCTATTTGGCTTTATCTCTTTCTCTCCCTAAAAATGTAGCATGCCCTTCCTCTCTCTCTCTTCATTTCATTAAGCTTTGAGAAAGAGAAATCTTCTATAGACAACCCTGATAAAAATTTTGGATAAGGGAAATCCTGAAAACCCTGATTTTGAGTCTTAAGGACCGCAAACCCTAGCAAACCATAGTCAACCTGGACCTAGCTTAATTGTCCCAAAACCATCCAAAATATGTCCCACGTCGTAGTATACCTCGAGAGCTTTCCGACAGTCTAAGAATCACTTGAATCGGACCTACCATTGAAATGTTAGGGTTTTGGGAGTGTCCAAGGTTAAAATTACCAAAATACCCCTAGCACGACTCATTCCTTGTTGCCCACGGGCCATGCACCAAGCAAAGGGTCGGGTCACACGTCGCGCGACCTGGTGGGGCCAAAGACGGCTTAATTTTTTCACTCCTATTTGATAAGGATTAATCAGTCGATAATAACTGGAATATTCCAGAAAAATATGAAAAACACCCCATTCCTAATCAAATTGGGACTGGAAGATTAGAACAATTAATTTCAAGCCTAACTCCCACAACAATCCATAAATATCCCTTAAATTACCTAGAAAATAAAAAAAAAATAGTCCAAAAACCCTTAGGAAAATCCCTAGAAATATTAGGAAATTTTAGAAAAATCTAGAAAATTAGGAAAATACTTAGAAAGTTAGAAAAAGGCTTAGAAAATCCTAGAAATTAGGAGAATTAGGAAATTTGTCCAAAAATCCCTAGGAAAATATGAAAAATCCTAAATCCCTAGAAAATTAGGGAAAACCTCTAGAAAATTAAGGAAAGTCCCTAGAAAACAATAGGCTAAAGACCCTAAGCTCAGATCCTCTCAAAATTTCCCTAAAATCAAAATCCTAGGATAGACCTCAAAACTTTAAAGCCATGCTTCAAGAAAGCAAGAGAAGGCATCAAAAGGAGTAAATCAACCAGCGGTCCTAATACAGGCCCCAACTTCAGATTTCTCAGATGTGTGATCTTTTTTCTCTGTTATTTATTTATTCCTATTTATTTATTTATTTTTCTTTTTTATTTTTATTTTCTAGTTATTTCTTTATTTTTAGATTCATTTATAATTTAAGCTTTTTAAGGTCTAGTAAACAGATTCTGGAACTGGCACAGCCAATAAATTTCGAGGAGAAACGGATCTGTAAGATCTGCGATGCCCCTAAATCTATAATTGGAGTGACCCCCACTCTCTCTATTGATCTAAAAGTTTAACTCGTTCCGCAAGAGATTTGAGTTGATTCCACATCAGAGATTGATCCAAATTTGCACGTAAACAGTTTGGCGACAACCGTGGCCCCTCAAGCTTCATCTCTGTATATTTAGACCCTAAAAGGTTTCCAGTAAATTTCCAAGTAATAATTTTCCAGAAAAATAGAAATTACAGAGGCAAAATTCACTGGAAAGCTCACCAGAAAAGACCCTGGAACTCGATCTCGATCTGGGGCGCCCACAAACTGCACAAGCCGAATCGACTTGCACAGGACTTGTGTGAGTCAATCCGAGTCGTAGTCCTATCTTCGGCCTTGCTTTGGCCCTCTGTGACTCCTAACTCTTCTGGTTATTGTTTCCAGTGATTGGAAATTCCAGAAAAATATAAAAAAAAAAGAAAAAGATAGATAGGACCAAGTGTTAGAATAGGCTTTCTTTTGCTTATCTGTTTAGATTGGATTTGATCTTTCAATCTTATATGTTTTCCTTGATCTTATCCACTTAGATTAGGCTTCTTGGTTTTATCTATTCTTATCTCATTCGATTAGATTTTTGAAATCCTTACCTTTATGTTCTATCTTTATCTTTTGCATTAGTAGATCAGGTTGGTTGAATCTTTCCTGCTGGATCACACCACGTGCACCCACCACTAGTGTACTCATTTTCCCTACACTTCTATAATTTACAATTACCCAAAGAGTTTTTGTTTGGGCACCTAGTTTAGTGGTGGGACAGTTGGGAGTGTGCCAGCAATGAAGCGAGCAACCTCTAGGGAATTCTTGACCAGAAAACAAACCCACAACAGCAAAGCTCAGCCTCGTATTCACCAGTTCAAACCAGTCCATCAATGTCAATCAACTAGCCAGTTGAGGCAATCACTGCTGCCCAAACAACCGAGTTAGCCGACCTGAAACGTGACCTAAAACATTAAAGCATACCTTGGCAAAGATGGGGGTTCCAGATATCCTCCCACCAAAAACTAACATCAAGTACATTCACGGAGACGTCGAGCCTCTCCCAACTCAGGTCCCAACCCAGAGGTATGGTCGAGGTCCTATTGAATCCAGTGGTCAACCTAGGAGAGTCTATAAGCTACAAGTTAGTCAGCCCTTACCGGCAAGGGCACCTGCTCAATTCCAATCCCAACCGGTTCCAGCCCTAACTTACCCATGTCAAGCTCAGTCAGTCCAACCTGCCCATGCCCATTGTCCATTAGCTCAGCCAATTAAGGCTATACCATTAGTCCAGACGTACCATGTGTCGACACAACCAATCCAAGTCGCACCACCCGTGCAAACACATTACCCACCGGTCCAGTTCCTTCCAACTGTGCCACAAGTCTAGGTCCAGTCAACCCAAGCTGTACCACATACCCAGGTATGTTCTGTCAATCACCAAGTCCAGTCAGTCTTACCTAGTACAATCAGTCCCGATCGTATTCACCAGTTCAAGCCAGTCCATCAATGTCAAGCAACCAGCCGGTTGAGGCAGTCAATGCTGCCCAAAAACCAAGTTAACCAACCAGAAACGTGAACTAAAAACATTTAAGCATACCTTGGTAAAGATGGGGGTTCCAAATATCCTCCCACCAAAAACTTATGTCAAGGACATTCACGAAGACGTCGAGCCTCTCCCACCGAGGTTTGAATTCCTCCACTTTAAAAACAAGTTTAGTGGGAAGGGTGACGGGGAAAACCATATCACTGCTTACCCTCTATCAATTCCTGCACTTCAAGATAGATCTCGCCGACTCAAGGAGATGTTCTAATACACCCTCTCTGGACAGCCCTTGACCTGGTTCTGAGAGGTGGTTAATAAAAAACCTGACTAAACTCACGATGAACTGTTTCGACAATTTGTTGAGCAGTGCTGCAGGACGAGGTAGCAACCCATGACCCTTGGCGAGTTGGTCGCCACCAAGTAAAACCCTGACGACTCGTTCAC